CCAGCAGCATTTACCTCCAGTGGTCGCAACCATACCAGCGACGGCCAAGAAATCTGCCGCAACTTCAATGGAGGTCGCTGTTCTTCGTCGTCGTGCCGCTTCTCCCACACCTGCAGCCAGTGTGGCAAGGACCACCCATGCATCATGTGCAACCAGCAGCAGCGCGGAGCCAATCGGCCACCCCGCCGCTCCTAGCAGAATGGCTACTGAATCGCTTGACTCGGTACGTAGCTTCTTTCCTATACACTCTGCAGACACCACACTGCTAGCTGACCACTTTGCCCGCCTGTTACGTAACCACTCAGATCAATCATGTGTTGCGTATGTTCTCCATGGCCTGCGCCGTGGCTTTACTCTTGGATCTGCCGGCCAACACGACATTTCGGTTTTCTCTAATAATCTACCATTGGCTTTCACTCACTCGGCATTTATATCCGAGCAATTAGCTGCTTCCTGCGCCCGCAGCGAGACCACAGGCCCATTTTCGTCACCTCCATTTCAGTTCATGCGCCGCTCTGGTATTGGTGCCATCCCCAAAAAGAACGGCAAGCCGCGAATGATCCACCATCTGTCTAGTCCGGAGGGCACCGGCGCGAACGACAGCATTCCTGCCGAGCCGCTCTCTCTCTGCACTACGCGAGCATTGACACCGCGATCAACATCATCATGTCATGCCCACAGCCTGTGTATTTGTCCAAGCTTGATGTACGCAGTGCATTTCGGCAGATCCCAGTCCGCCGTCAGGACTTCGCTGGGAAGGCTCCTACTACTACGAGCGCTTTCTGCCTTTCGGCCTCCGCTCCAGCCCAGCCGTCTCTGACTCAGTAGCCACAGCAGTCAACTGGATCATGCAGCACGAGTTTGCTATAGATCACCGGCTTCACTACCTCGATGACTTTCTCGATATCTCCACTGGTTTGGCTGCAGCCAACCAGCAACTCACCATCCCCCTCCGGGCGTTCACGTATCTCGGCACTCCTCTTTGCTCCATCCCAGCTCGAAGGGCCATCACCATCATTGACCTTCCTTGGTATTGTCCTAGACTGCAAGCGCCACGAAGCTCGGCTACCAGAGGACAAGCTGTCCGAGATCCGTGCGCCCCCTCATGGCTACTATCAGCGAGCGCAGCATCGGCCAGCGTCAACTCGAGTCCCTCCTGGGGAAGCTCACTTTTGCTGCCCGAGTCATCGTTCCTGGACACACATTCATGCGTGAACTATGATCAGCGTGCCCTGAACTGTATCTGTGTATGCGAGTGCGGTGCATAAAGCCCACCTTAAGAATGGGTTTGCCGGCCCCTTAGTAGATGCGTGGCTTCTGAAGAGGGTGTTGAAGGGCATCCAGCGATGCCATGGTACGGCTTCACTCACCCCTCGCCTTCCTATAACTATGCCAATCCTACGAGACCTGACGGATGCACGCCGGAAAAGTAATATCCTGAATGGCCATGACAAGCTGCTCTACCAAGCCGCCATGCTGCTTCTTTGGATTTCTTCGGTGCGCTGAATTCACTAATGGCATCACACGGGGCTGTACTAGCTCCCCTGGTGACGGACGCCTGCAACTCTTCCTGCTTTCATCCAAGACGGACCCATTCGGGAAATTCGTTACTAGTGACATTGGCCCGTCTGTACCGCCGTACTGCCCGGTCCGTGCCATTGTTAGCTACCCATTTGTCACTTGTCGCGAGGGGCCGGAGCAACTCTTGTTCGTACTCTCGAACAGACAGCAGCTGACCAGGCAGTCATTCACAGTAACAGTATGGTCTCTTGTCGCTGCGGCCGGTGTACCATCCCAGTCGAACTACTCCGGGCATTCGGTCCACATTGGTGCAGCCACCACCGCTGCTATGGCTAGTGCCCCCGACTCCTTCTTCCGAGTGGCAGGTCAGTGGAAAGAGCGATGCGTGTCTATGCTACATCCAGACTACAACAAGCGCATAGCGCCAGCTATCGTCCCGGCTTGCTGCCGTGCCATGGATGCCATGATCCCGAACTCGGGTGAGTAATGAGCTACTGAACTCTAGCTGCGCAATGCTTGCTTGCGCTGACATTAATTGACCCTTGCTGTGCGTCAATAGTGCTTAGCTAACGGAGTGCTGGTTTCATGGGTCCACTCTCACAACTGGTGTTATCTAGCTATTTGCTGCGGCTCTGCCTTGCGCTATATTACATCCATGTAGCATTGCAGCTCTACGTTGAGCTAACAGCAGCTCTACTTTGAGCTAACAGCAGCTCTACTTTGAGCTAACAGCAGCTCTACTTTGAGCTAACCGCAGCTCTACTTTGAGCTAACCGCAGCTCTACTTTGAGCTAACAGCAGCTCTACTTTGAGCTAACCGCAGCTCTACTTTGAGCTAACAGCAGCTCTACTTTGAGCTAACAGCAGCTCTACCTTGAGCTAACAGCAGCTCTACTTTGAGCTAACAGCAGCTCTACTTTGAGCTAACAGCAGCTCTACTTTGAGCTAACAGCAGCTCTACTTTGAGCTAATCGCAGCTCTACTTTGAGCTAACAGCAGCTCTACTTTGAGCTAACCGCAGCTCTACTTTGAGCTAACCGCAGCTCTACTTTGAGCTAACCGCAGCTCTACTTTGAGCTAACCGCAGCTCTACTTTGAGCTAACAGCAGCTCTGCTCTGAGCTAACAGCAGCTCTGCTCTGAGCTAACAGCAGCTCTGCTCTGAGCTAACAGCAGCTCTGCTCTGAGCTAACACCAGCTCTACTTTGAGCTTCAAACCAGTTGTTTCGAAACCAGCACTCCTCAATCCAAAGATGCCTCTTTGTTGACTTGTTTGTGTGAGGGATGGGGCTAATGGTGTACTAGCTGTGCTAGTACTTGTTAGCAACAATCCGAACTAGCGCACACACTGCACTGCATTGCTTTGTACTGCATTCAAGACTGACGTCATGCGCTTTGTTTTGCTGCGTAATCACAAATGGCACCAGCCCATTTTTGCGGAAAAGAAAAACAAATCTTGCTTGCCCTGTTGTGCTCTTCCAGACAACGGATCGTGCTTCAGCAGTGTTTCTTTTCCCACCATCCCTCCCTATCCAACTTATTCACACCATCATAATATTATCGTACCCACTAACCGGGTCCACTCTCACAACTGGTGTTATCTAGCTATTTGCTGCGGCTCTGCCTTGCGCTATATTACATCCATTTAGCATTGCAGCTCTACGTTGAGCTAACAGCAGCTCTACTTTGAGCTAACAGCAGCTCTACTTTGAGCTAACAGCAGCTCTACTTTGAGCTAACCGCAGCTCTACTTTGAGCTAACAGCAGCTCTACTTTGAGCTAACAGCAGCTCTACTTTGAGCTAACCGCAGCTCTACTTTGAGCTAACAGCAGCTCTACTTTGAGCTAACAGCAGCTCTACCTTGAGCTAACAGCAGCTCTACTTTGAGCTAACAGCAGCTCTACTTTGAGCTAACAGCAGCTCTACTTTGAGCTAACAGCAGCTCTACTTTGAGCTAATCGCAGCTCTACTTTGAGCTAACAGCAGCTCTACTTTGAGCTAACCGCAGCTCTACTTTGAGCTAACCGCAGCTCTACTTTGAGCTAACCGCAGCTCTACTTTGAGCTAACCGCAGCTCTACTTTGAGCTAACAGCAGCTCTGCTCTGAGCTAACAGCAGCTCTGCTCTGAGCTAACAGCAGCTCTGCTCTGAGCTAACACCAGCTCTACTTTGAGCTTCAAACCAGTTGTTTCGAAACCAGCACTCCTCAATCCAAAGATGCCTCTTTGTTGACTTGTTTGTGTGAGGGATGGGGCTAATGATATATTTTGGACTCTGCTGGATATTGTATATAATTATATATTTATGGTGTATATATGGTGTATAGTGTATCATGAAATATTATGTCTCGGCAGTTGTGAGTTTTGTGATTGCATCTTGATATGTTTACTATTGCGTAGTTCTAGATGCTTCGCCTCAATTAGTGAGGGGGAAATTGTCATGTCCTGGACATGGACCATATGTATGTAGTGCGCATGCTCGCACGTGAGCTGGGTCTTTTTCGGATATGGAGTTTGAGATGTACTGAAATCTGTAATGGCCTCGAGTGTGTGTGTGATCGAGCTGGATGAGTCCGAGTAGAACCCACCTGGGGTAGGACACAACACTGTCCCAATTTTGTAAAACCTGGCTGAATGTCTATTTCCCTCTTCTTGGACTTTTCTGGCCTCACATGTGGCAAGGAGTAATTGCACGGGTCACACAATGCAGGATGTACTGTTGTTTTCACGATATCTACAACTATGTGCGGAAGACACCAAAAAGTTAGGGTGCCAGTTTCCAATGAATGGACTGTAGGCGACTTGAAATTAAAGCAGTGGAAAATACAATACGAGATAGTGGTATTGACTCCGGCGATGATGTCATAGGAAAGATGTTTGCTTCCCACGTCGGGAGCTTGCGCTTTTCCGCCGACTAGACATGCCACTTGACTGACGGACGACTGTCATCTAGAGCACATGAGAAGCGTGTCGAAACTTCCACTCGGCAAACCTGCAAGGGAAAGCACCATTCCCTGCTCAATACAATGCACAAATGCATTGGTAAAACATGTTCACCACAGACAAGTTGCTCAAATTTCATAAAATTTCGGTGTTCAGACCTTTAGCCGGGTATGAGGGCAAACTATCAGGTTAGGTGAACCGAAATTTTAGGTACGGAGAAGCAGTCCCCTATTGGATGGTGTGTGTCAGTATTTGTGCAACTAATCAACCTTTATGTATGAATGAAAAACCCCAGATGCACCTTAATTAAGTACAGCAGAATTTTCAACGGCTGAATACTGCCACTTATCTTCTTCTACAATGCACGCAGAGTACCGTAAATAGATATACACTGAAATGTTAAGTTCAAGTAATTGTATAAAGAAGAATGACAATACATGTACCAGTTTTACGATATCTATGCTCAGCACACTCATGACACAAAACCACTCTGCCTCAGACCTTTCCCCCACTTCATTTATCGTGCTGCCCATACAGGGACCGTACAAAACCCGCCTCAATGATATGCGCTCCTACAGCAGTTACTATGAGCCATGCCTGGGTGTACCCACATCCACAGGAACCTGGTGCAACATTCCCAACAAGGTACAGACCGGTTACAAGGAGCAGATGGTCAGTGCTTACCACAAGGGCAAGCTGGTATACGCCTACAAAGCCAATATCAACTCTCAGCTGGGAAAGTCCAATCCAGGTATGGTAAAGCAGAGTTAAGTACAAATATTTATTTTTTGAAGCGAGGTCAGAGCCAAAACGTTAATTAAATGTAATACCTACATATGTGCCTACTGAAGCACGCACAACCAGCCATGTAGGGCACATCAGATGTGTTGAACGTTTTTGTTACCTTCTTCTCAAAACACTCGAGGGAATGACGAAAATATAAAGAAAGGACCCCCGGTTGTCATGGTAATCGTAGTCTTTTCGACACTAGCAGTCATAAGCAGGATATTTTGGAGTCAGAGGGTGCAACAGTTTGCACAATACTGACTGGGGGTCGGACAACATGTCAGCTTTTGGTTCTTTCCTTTCATTTTAATCCTGGGCTCTCCATCCGGTCCTTCAGATGGAAATACTCTAATAATAAAGATTAGAAGTTCAGAAAAAGCAAAAAATCCAATAGTGGAGAAAGAAAACGAGGAAAGTCCAAACAGCGTTCAAACCCCATATTGACAAAAAAGTTGCGTGTAAAAGCATCAAGAGATCAACTACTCTATCTAGCACATTCACGACCAATGATACCAAATAACTCATACAATAACACATTAATGATTAACTTTCTGAATACGAAGTTTATGACTTACGTATGTTAAAAAATTCTTCTAGGACTGCAAAGTGTAATCCAGACGTACAGCGTGAGTAAACCGAGAACACATCATCAGTATACCACAACTAGCTCTACCCAACAGATGACACTTACTTGCATACCTGCCAAGTATCCAGATTTTTTCGGGATTATCCCGCAATTTTGGATGAACTCCCGCGATCCCGAAATTCCTGTCGATTATCCCGAAATTCACTGCACAAGAAACAAGCTTGATATTGTACTTGGAGCACTTCAAATGACTTGTCACAGGCCAGTAGTTGTCCTTATTGATTCCGGACCGCCATAGCCTGCAGTACCAGTGGATCTACTAGTGCTCTTTCCATGAGCAGTCTCTGAAAAACCTCCGTTTATGAGTCTTGAACATGATTGTGTAAGTGTGATCCGATGATCACCATCGGTCATATACTATCGAAATATTGGTGCCATCAAAAGTTGAAAAAGGATTTTTTTAGTAAAAATATGACATATCCCGAAAAACCAAGGCAAATCCCGGGATTTTGCCATGGCGATTCAGAAAAAGCACTCCCAGTACTTGGCAGGTATGTATTTGACGATGAGCGGTGTCCTGGCATTGGCCTCCTCGCTGTTCCCACCTCCGATGCTGTAACTTGTAAGTTTCGTCCATAGGGCACAGTGCATTTTCTCTTCCGAGTCACTTGTTCTGAAGCCATGTGCTCTGCGTCCGGTTTGTCATGCTTCCGAAATCACCTCATCGTCAATTGATCATTATCTATCTGGCAGTGTTAGTCATCAGTGAGTTGCAAACTGATAATATTTCGTCTGCTTTGTCACGTGGCAGGCAGGCATAGTTGAATGGCCTAAGACCATGATTGAGAAAAAGAGGGTACCAGGTTCAAGTCCTGCTTGGAAGCGGAAGGATTTTTTCCAGCCATGCTGCAACCCACAGTTAATTGGGAACTCGTGGCCTGGCACGAGAAAACATGGATGCAGCGAATAAGATTTTCGGTCGTTAAGCTCTTGTTGGTGAGCTGATGTCCTCACCTCCTACTGCTTTAGGAGCTGCACCTGCACCTTAATCCTTGAAGGGTGGTGGCGTTCTAATGGATGCGGAAAACTCGGCCTATAGCCGAGTCTGACGCGAACTGTGAAATTTTTTAATTTTTTTCACGTGGTAGTGCCATGTTGAGGCATGCAGAAAACCTGCAACCGAAATTAAGCTTTTTTCCAGGCGTCCCTTTCTAGGGGGAGGGGGGGGGGAGGTAATTGAATCGCTTTCGGGGGAAGTAATGTTGTCCCTTTCCGCGGGAAGTAATGTTATCTCTTTCGGGGGGAGGTAATGTTGACCCTTTCCGGGGGCGGTGATGTTGTCCCTTTCCAGGGGAGGTAATGTTGTCCCTTTCCAGGGGAGGTAATGTTGTCCCTTTCCGGAGAGGTAATGTTGTCCCATGTTTATCAGCCTGGTCCGGGTAGCTATGTGTGTTTCTCAGCATTCCACGCCAACTGCTGCACGCCCATTTCCCCCTGCTGTCTTGTGGGGTATACTTTCTTGGGCACATTAGGACATAGGATTTCTGTAGGCCAAATGTAACAACCGCGAAGCAAGAATCACTATGTGGAGATGTACCAGCACAATTATGACCGTGCACTTCATAAAGGGGCTCTTCTGAGAGTTTCGGCACAGTGCGAAATCAATTCGATTAGACACATTGACAGTCCTACTCGATGCCGTTGTCCAAGTCATAGACCATGTTGTGGCGTGACATGCTCAGCGCTGTGCTTTAGTGTAGAATTAATTGACTATAATCCCATTCAAGTGCCATAATTATTATCTACTTTGAAAGGCCGGGTTCTGGAAGACTTCCGCCTCTTGTCCTTTTCAGGCCTATCAGGAACCCATTCAAAAATTCTTTTTCTTAAAATATGTGAAAAGGTGATGTGGAGACAATAATCTTAAAATAATGCAATGAATAAAACAGTTACTATAGGCGCACTCGTATCACAATCATGGCAACGAATGAATGATAATTGTGACAAGAAAACGTTCTGGAATACTTCATTCGTCGCTATGGTGATGATTCTTCCAGGGCTACTGTGCGTGGCTATAACTTCCCTACTCAGTGAAGACTTCGGCATCATTGAAAGAATTTGAAGTGAACCTGTGGGCCTGCTGATGACTGCGTGCACCATGATAATTTTTTTCAAACTAATCAATATAGCTTTTCGGCTGTTTCCTTTTCATGTATAAAATCTTCTCCTTCTTTTACCATGTTTGGCTATCACCCACATCTTCCCGTTTTGGCTGCCATCGGAAGCCATAAGATGTTGAATAAATAAATAAACGAGAGAGCTTGGAAGCTCAGGGCCCTACGCTATGGTTTTTTTGCCTTGATGACCTAGACAAAAAAGCATAGCGATGTTATAAATTCTTCTAAGTTTCTACTTTTTGTTTGAGACATAACCTGGGATTCGAACCCGCACCATCGCCCTGCATGCATCCTCGATACACTTCGCATACATACTAATTCTTCCAAGTTGCTTCACGTTATGATCTTGTATTTGAAAGCCCTATTTGAATATGCATTGTGGCCAGCCGTCTTTGAATGTAAGGTACGGTACGGGATAGGTACGGGACAGGTACGGGACAGGTACGGGACAGGTATGGGATAGGTACGGGATAGGTACGGTCGAGGGTAATACGACACCATCTACCGCCTTGATGACGGCAAAAAAGGAAAAGGGATGTTATACATTTTTCAATTCTCCTATTTTTTAGGCATTACCTGGGATTAGAACCCGCACTATCGCCCCACATGCATTCCCCCATACACTTCGCATTCATACTCATTCTTCCAAGTTGCTTCACGTTATGATCTTGCGTTTGAAAGCCCTATTTGAATATTGCGGCCAGCTGTATGTGGCCAACTGTGTTTGATGGTACGGTACGGTACGGGAGAGATACGGGATAGCGCCAGGCGTGACACAAACACACAAACAAACACCAAAATAAAGCTGTGTGGACCCTGGCTAGCGCCAGACGTTACGCATAGCTACGGGAATAAAATAGAATATGAGTGCACATATAGTTTTATTCATTGCATTATTAAAAATTCATTCGTTCAGTTATTCTCCAAAAGTGTATATATACTAAATGGGGGAGGTTCCTTGAAGCGTGGATGGGAGATGAGAATAGGGCCCACGTGAAAGGCAGAACTTCCAGCGAACTTGTCAAGTTGTGCGAAGTTGTGGTCTAGAGTATGTACCTGTACATTAGAGAAAAGCTCCTTTACGTCAACATTAAATACACCAGTGGAATGCTGAGACCGTGGGTTGCCAAGGTACATGTGTGTTTGTGTTTGTGGGTGGGGGGGGGGGGGAGGCAGAGGGGGAAAGGTTTGTGTGATTACCTTCATATCAAGTAGATTGCAATGATTTCCCAACTGATTTGTTCTGTGTGCAGGTGTGTACCTGACGTCCACCAACAGGGTATATGACAACTGCGGTTCGAGTGTCGGAATCCGTCCTAGCTACTCCATTGGAGGCGGCTCTACACCAGGTGTGTTGATGGTGATCTGCTTCAAGTGGTTTGGGTGGTTTGGTTTGGTTTTTAGTAGGGGTCAAACGGGTGTACCTTTAACTAACGAACGGGTAATTTTTTTAAAGGGGAAGTCCGGTAAAAAATTAAAATTTCAGGGTCGGTAGAGTTTCGGGCGCTGAGTCGAATGGTGTTGGTCCCACGTGTCTCCGACAAAGCGTTCTCGAGATATTTCCGTTTGAAAAACTGAGTTTCGGGAGCTGCGCCATGACGTCATGCGGCCGCGCCACACCCTCTGCAACGTCATAGCGTGCAGCTAGGTCAAAAGGAGTGCGTGAAAGCAATAGTGTCAGTGCTATTTCAAATGATTTGGCGACTGATATTAGGTGGTGCAAGGGACCCCGAAGACCTGTAACTCCTTGTGAGAGTGAGGATGCAGCCATGGCTGACCTTCATGAGTTCGGTCTGGGGCTGAGAACCTCGGTATTAAGCTGAAGAAATGGCCGCGGGCCGGTCAAGAGTGAGCGCTACTGAGTTTCCGACTGATGAAGAAGCAGAAGCTATTGCAGACGAGGCTGATGTAATTATCAGATCGCTGGAGAGCAGGGTCGCCAAAATGGAGAAGAGTGATGCGAGTGCTCTAAATGTTGTTCCATACCGATAAGATTGGCTTAGACTCCAGTAGCCTGCCACATGGTGATGTTTTGGTGCGAACTTGGAATATTTCGGACTACTCAATTGGAGAACAGTGCAGGCTCTTTGAACCACGTTCACGACTCTTCGCTCGCATCGCTATGGAATCTGAAAGTTCTAGGTCCGGGAGTCACGGTTGTGCACTCATCGCTGTAGCGTAAAATAATGAGGCGGGTGCGGAAAACTAAAATTTTCTTTCTCAAAGCACAACCACCGGCACCGGCAAGGAGAAACGCACGTTCTCTGACTACATGACTGTACAATACGACTGATACAAGTGTAGTACATGACAAGTCCGTGTGTTGACTAGTTTTCTGAGTCTTGTGTTAGTTGTGACATGAGTTTGTTGACTGCACTACAGCTAGATAACACACTGCATGCACGCAGCGCAGAGCGCGTAGATCTACGCCGCGTAGACGGCTAAGACGGGCTGACGGAAAAATTCAACTCGAAACGGCTAAAATATGGTATAACCTCCAGGTTTACCGAGCTGAAAATCACAGGTTACTTAGTGTTTGTAACACTGAATCGAATGGTCTTGGTCGGAAGAAGCTGCGACAAACGGTTCCCCAATCGAACGCGCTCCAAGTATGGCCATTTTTGTACACAACTAGATGGTGTGGCTACCTGGCTGCACGCTGTGACGTCATCACCTGGATCTGGGTGATGCGCGCTCAAATCCGCACATGTTCGATTGGGCGTATCTGGCGAACCATAAGCTGCAGCCTCCTTGGACAAAGACCATTCGACTCAGCGACCCAAACTCTACGGACTGTGAAATTTAAATTTTTCACCGGACTTCCCCTTTAACGGGCAGGTTAACGGGTACCCTTTAGCAGCCATATTATTTTTTTGCGCATTTCTCACATAAATCATGATTTTAATTAGGGCTGAAACGATTATACCGAATAATCGAGTACTCGTTTGATAACTCTAACGATCGAGCAATCGTTTAGATTACCGATTACGATTATTTTGCGTTTTTTTTAATTTGTGTCAAGAAAGTACTGTAAACCCTCGTTTTGTGAAGTTTGAATCAGTTTCCGCTGGGAGTATGCAGTTGCCAGGGGTATGCATGGTTCATGTTCTGAGGTTAAAATAATTGACTTCAAAACTGCCATGTTTCGGAGCTACCCTTTCACTAATGCAGATTTGTTGGTATTATGAAGGCATAGTTTGTGGAAACAGAGTAATGTTTGCGCAGAACTATGACTCTATTTGCTAACGATTATAATCGATTACTCGATCGTTAAGCTAAAGAGTAATTGATACTTGAAAATCCACGATCGTTTCAGCCCTAATTTTAATTTGTATATTCTCAGGTTGTATTTTGATACTACATTATGATTCGCAATTGATTCGTGTATCATAATATTATTATGGCAATGAAGGTTCCAAATTAGGCCACACCAAGTTTTTTCATTGTTTCTCGTCACCGCGCGCGTACCTTTCTTGAGGATTGGACCAAAAAAAAATCTCGCGTCCCGGTAAACACGCATAAAAAGGCGTTGTAAAAGTACGCGCGGCGTCAAATCTGGAGTGCAGTGCTAGTGCACGAACCGAAGGACGACTTTTGCACCGTGTATGTACGCATACGGTGGGACGATTTCACCAGTTGTAGTCTTCGGGGTGCTGAGTCGAATGTTCTTGGTCCGAGAAATAACATGCAACACTGGACTTCCTCACCAGAGGCCGGTGCAGGAGCCTGGTTTTCTGGCTGTATGTTGCAATTGACTGTCACGCGTGGTGTATAGTCTGATTTTAGGTCATAAATTGGGCCTTTGTAGTGTAAATAGCAGTTTTTGTTTTTCAAACCCTATTTTGTTTTTTTCCGCCCGCCCGCGTTCCTTTTGAGATTTTCAGGTGACGAGAAACAATGAAATAACTTGGTGTGGCCTTAGGGCTTGGCGGATAATGCCGGCAGAATTTTCGGCAGAAAACGCATGTTTGGGGGGTCGAGCATTGTTGTGTATCGTGTCGGAGAAAGGTCTTCTGGGGTGTCGTCGAGATCTCGTTGCGACCGTGACTCCTGCTTGTCTCCCTGGCTAGGTGCTGCTTGCTTTGCTTTTTGCGTAGTGTTTTGGATTATTGTTTACTATTGCGTATTGTTAGTGTTCGTTGTGATTTGGTACAGTACTTGTTACGAGATACGACACATTGTGTAGTGTGTGTTTGCAGCACGAAGAAGACTGCTCACCAGAACGGTTAGCTCAGGAGCTTGGGCTTACCTTGTGCAATCACAGTTCATCAGCTTGGACATTGCGCTTGCTCCCATGCGAATAACCGACTAGAATAGTAATTATTTCTTCGTTGCATTTTTGAATTGTGTTCTTGCTAGCTCGTTGATTTATTTTAGTTGATGTGTTGATTTGTGTTTGATTACTTATTTATTTGATGCGCGATTTATGTGCGCTGATTGCGTGATGGCATGCAATTATGATCATGCTTGCGCCAGCTAGCTAGATGCCTGCGCCGCGCACTGATGTTGAATGAGTTAGCATGCGCCCCGCGCTGTTCATACATATATGGTACATGGTGTGTAATGTTTGCCGCACACGCGTATACGTGCCTCGCCTCGTACTGCTTATGTGCCTCGCGCCGTACTATTGCTGTCGCTTTGCCAAATTTAGCTTCCGCTTTCCGAGCGCTGTACGCTCTTCTGTACGCTCATGCCAAAGTTGGACGCACGTTGTGGCTGGCCAGCGCTTTACCCCTCATGCGTTGTTCTTTTCCTTGATGCTGTGGTTTGTTTTTCTTTAGTGTTTTAGAGTTCTCTTTCCGATGTAGTTCGTATTTTTCCAGTCTCTTCTTCTCAATGTATTCTACTGTTCATTCATTATAGTCCGTAAAGAATTACGTGACCTTTTGTCTTGTGGCGTCTGTGCGATCCTGAAACTTTTGAGGTGTTAGTAGTGAACACAACATTTTGGCGACCACGCCAGGATCGAGACGCGTGAACATGGATGAGGTAGAAGCGAAGCTGATCGCAAATGGTCAAGCTTATGGCTACACTGGAGAGGCATTGCGTACTTACGTAGAAGAGCGTATCGAGAAGCACGAGGAGAAAGTGCGTGCAGAAAGAGAGCGCGACGAACGAGCAGGAAGTAGATTGGAAAGGAAAGATGACGAGCAGCTGCTTGCGAGGATTGCAGATTTGGAGTTGCAAGTCCAGCACACACGAGAGACTCAGAGTGATGAGAGCACTTTGTTGAATACGACGAATGGCAGTTTAGCGAGCAAGAGGGCTGCCATCAAGATGCCGAAGTTCGACGGTAAGCAGACTGTTGAGGCCTATCTCGAACTGTTCGAGGATGTGGCAAAGCAAAACGAGTTCAGCGACGACGAGTACCTGATCCGCTTGCGCGTGGCTGTTGCTGGCAGCAAGTTGGAAGGTGCATGCTATGGCTGCAACACCTTTGCCGAAGCGAAGCGCGAGCTGCTGATGGCGCATGGGAAGACCGCCGACAAAGCGTGGCAAGCCCTGATGGCCATACAGCAGAAAAGTGAGGAGAGTTTCTACCAGTTTGTGGTACGAGTGACGCGCGAGACGGAGAAGTGGGCAAAACTCGCCAGGCCTAGCCGTACCTCTAGCCGCGGACAAATCGGTGAGCTGGACGACACTGAATTGTTCGGATGTGTCGTACGTCAAGTCCTGCTAGAAGCTGTGTCGGCAGAAACTAAGGCCTTCTTGATCGAGAAGAGATGTTACACGAAGGACTTGAAGGCGTTTGCGGAGGATGGTATGGCTTACCAAACAGCCCACGGACGTAGCAAGCTGAAGCCTGCCAAGTCTAGCACCAGCGACAAACGTATACCGTTTGCGTCGGCAGAGTGTTTGACGGTCAGCGTTGATGAGGCTAACAAGAAATTGTCAGCTATGGCGTCTGAGCACCGAAACGCGTACGTCAAGGCAGAGGGACTGTGTTTCAACTGCCTGAGACCAGGACATCGAGTGATGAATTGTCAGAACAAGGGTCGTTGCAAGCACTGCAACAAGCGACACCACAGTCTACTGCACAGAGAGGACAAACAGGTAACATCCGAACCGATAGCCGAATCGAAAGTCGGTACGTATGAATGTAGTGCAAACAGCGTGCACTTGATGACCGGCGTGGCTGAGGTACAAGGACCTAGCCGAAAGGCCAGTGTACGCATATTCATCGACCCAGGTGCGCAGGCATCGTTCATCACCGCGCCACTGGTGAACTCGCTGCAACCGGCACACCTTGGATCGCAAACTGTCAGGCTGAAGGCGTTTGACGTGGAGCCGAAGTTTGAAAAGATGGACAGGTACCGTGTCACCATCAAGGGTGCAACGAAGTCCATTT